AATCCTTTCTAATCCTCCTAATCAGCCCTCAAAGCAGGAATTATCAGCCCCCTTTGACAGATAAGAAGACTGAGCCTTGAGTAGGTTAAGGAAGCTTTCAAAGGCTCCAGACTATGAGTACCTTCCCTGCCCCTAGTCCCTGCTCAGTGAGAAACCTGGGGAGGGCATCTGGTAGTTTGGATGAGGGTGTAGAGGAGACACCTGAATGAAGAGCAAGTTCAGAGTGAGCAGGTTGTCTTTGCCCGGGCTGTGTGTGCTTCTGTTTGAGGGGAAGGGGGCATCCTCCTAAGCTTAGAGGGTGAGGCTCAGGGCCAGCCTCCATCCCCCACCAGAGTTCCCCTCCATCCTGACCCCTTTACACGTACTGGGAAAACAATAATGCAAATTAACTCTGGTTCTATTTCAGGCACAGAATAAATCAGTATCTCCCAAATGACACGTGCCAGCATTAGTGGGAAGCCATGTGTTTTATGACCTGTCAGACCATGCAACAAAAAATGCAAACGTGAGTCTTTCCAGGGAGCAGACAGGATCCAGCACATTTTTTATTAGAAGGAGGCTAAGCTAATGGACCGTATTGCTTTTACAAAGCTAACCTTTCTCTAATTTACAAATCCCAGCATGTATTTATGATTTGACAATTGTGAACCATAAAGAAAAAGGTTTGTCTCAACCTCTGCTATGGAATCAGAGAGTCAATTTACAAATCTGTCTGCTGGCAGAAAATTGAGATCCTTAGAGGCTGAAAAATAATGTCCATCCTTCCCATTCATTGAAACAATTTTTATTGTGAAATGTAACACATATGAATAAATAAAGCATAATCTTATGAATTAACAAATGATTATTGTAAAACATTTATGAAACCATGTAGAGCCAGAAAGAGAATGTACCTGAGACCCCAGAACACCCCCATGCCTCTCCCCATCCTAACACCCTCCCTGCTTCCAGAAGCCATCATCCTGCTGATACAGAAATCAGATCCCAGGTTTGATTTACAGTTGTGTGTCTCAGAGCACACCCCTGGACACTGTTGTGCAGCTTTGGCAGTTTTTGAACTTTATGTAAATGGAATCTTACAGCATGTGCCTTGTCCTATTGGCCTTCCACTCAACTTTATATTTGTGAGATTCATCTGGGTGGTTGTGTGTGGCAGTAGTTCATTCTTTCTTATTGCTGTGGAGTGTTCTGCTGTATAAATACAGCACCATACATTTGCCCATCCTACTGGTGATGGACTTTGGAGTCATCTTGTGTTAGCCGATTACACCTTGACTGGCATGAAGTTTCTTGTAGAAGCTGTGCGCCTGTATTTCTCTTGGATATACCGAAGAGTGGAATTTTGGATTAAGGAGTATGTGTAGCTTCAATTGATATCACATGTAGTTATTGGTTAAGATTTGGAATTTATAGGTCAATTTGAGGATCATTAATGTCTTTACAATATCAAATCTTCCAATCAAGATACATTATATACTGCATTTATTTAGGTCATATTTAATTTAGTTTTTCTTAATATTGCTTTGAGGTTTCCACCATTAGGTATAACATGTAATGTAGCTGTGTTTTTTTTTTCTTTAATCAAGTTAAAAAAGTTTCTTTCCATTCCTAATTTGCTAAGTGTGTTTCTCATGCACAGAAATTAAATTTTGTAAAATGCTTTATCTTCCTCTACTGAGGTAATCAGTGTAATATTTTTTCTCCTTTATTCTGTTAATTTGGCAAATTTCATTGATTCAGTAATGTTATTAAGTACATACAAATTTATAATTTTTTTCATCTTTCTAGTGAATTAAACCTTTTAGCATTAGGAAATGACCTCTTTGTGTCTAGTCATGTTTTGTTTTGTTTTTCTTAAAGACTATTTTTTCTGCTATTCATGTAGCAAAAAGTGACCCCGTGTTTACTAGGTACTGGCCATTCATTTATTCATTCATTCATTTACTCATTCATTCTTTAAAAATATTTACCTGAGTAGCATCAAGGTCATGGGCACTGGACCTCAACTGTCAGAACTGTGTGTAAACTCATACAACTTATTTAACTTCTCTTTTACATGTAGAGAGAGCCTCAGTTTCCTTGTTTGTAAATTTCTTCCATCAGTTTGGGAAATTTCATCTCTTCAAATATTGCTTCTACTCAGACTTTCCCTTCACTCCTTCAGAGACTCCAATTTAACATGTTGGACCTTCCCACTGTATGTTCTATGTCATTATCTTCTCCTCTGTATTTTCCATCCTTTAGTCTTTCCTCACCTGCCATTTGCTGGGCACTCTGCTAGGCCCCACAAATGCAAAGGTGGTAAGAAGAAACTCTGTGGTCTCGTCCATGAGAGGGGCAATCACACAACCAGTGCCTGCGAAGGGTGATGAGTGCTGGAGGGGCAGCAGCAAAGGAGGGGCACGTCTTCTGGGGCCTGTAAGACCCCTAGGTTCAGTGGTTCACTAGGACGGCTCACGGACTCAGCCTATAGTTGTACCCATGGCTGAGACTTACTGCAGTGGAAGGATTCAAAGCAAAATTAGCAACGGGAGAAGCTACAAGGGGTAAAATCCAGAGGAAACCAGGCACAAGTTTCCAGAATCCTCTCCCCGTGGAGTCACAGAGGTGGCACTTAATTCACATGAGTTGCGATAGCACGTGTGAAATGTTGTCTATCAGGGATGTTATCCTGAGCTTAGAGTCCAGGGTCTCTACTTGGATCAGTCATACAGGCACACCCACTTCCTGACATGTACCAAGAATCCAGACTCCAGGAAGGAGAGCAGATGTTCAGCTAAGCCACGTTGCACCTAATCAGACCCTGTGGTCAGAGGCCTTATCAGAAAAGGAGACCTCGAATTGATTTTTGGAACATGGTGGAGAGTTCCTGGGTAGAGAGGGGACGTGGTTGTTCTAACCGTGTTGGTGCATGGTGTGTTCAGGGACGGTAGGCAGGTGCTTGGTTGGGGAGGATATGAGATGCGGGTCCGGACCCTAGTGTGACAAAGCCGCTATTTCAGGGGCTGTGCTCATGGGGGATGACAGGTAAACTGTGGCTTAGATACTCTGCTGGGCTAACCAAACAGCTGGTGGGAGCCCAGGATCAGAAATCCCCATGTTAGTCTGAGTGGCCCAGGGAAGGCTCCAGAGAAGGGATTGTTTTGGAGGGATTGCAGGGTGAGGAGTCCATTGTAGGTGTGAAAGTGATGAGATTCCAGGCACAGTTGCCTATACCCATAATCCCAGCACATTGGGAGGTCAAGGCAGGCAAAGCCCTTGAGCTTAGGAGTTCAAGAGCAGCCTCAGCAACATAGTAAAACCCTGTCTCTACAAAAAAAAATAATAATTACCCGGGCATAGTGGCATACTCTCCTATAGTCCCAGCTATTTGGGAGGCTGAGATGAGAGGATCACCTGAGCAGGAAGCTGAGGGCGTGATCACTCCCCTGAACTCCAGCCCAGGGGACAGAGAGAGATCCTGTCTCAAAACAAAACAAAAAGCATCTGCATAATGAAACATGCGATGAGCTGCCATTTATGGGTGAATTAACACACACACCAAAAGCCACCTTTATGAACATCATATGCAGGGAAAGTACAGACAGGTAAACTGGAGAGAGGGGCACTGACTTCATGGGGGTGGCTGTGTGAGGCTGAGAGGGAGGGGAAAGAATTGCAGGAAGCCATGAAGAATTCCAGCTTAACCTATAAGGTTCCATGTTTTTCTGTCTGTTTGTTTGTTTGTGATATAGTCTCTCTGTGTCACCCAAGTTGGGGTGCAGTGACGTGATCTCGGCTCACTGCAACCTCTGCCTCCCAGGTTCAAGTGATTTTCCTGCCTCAGCCTCCTAAGTAGCTGCGATTATAGACATGCGCCACAACTAATTTTTGTATTTGTTAGTAGCGTCCGTGTTTCACCGTGTTTTGTTGGCCAGGCTCCCGACCTCAGGTGATCCTCCCAAAGTGCTGGGATTGCAGGCATGAGCCACCACACTCGGCTACCTATAAGGTTCCATGTTTAAATAAAAACAACAAAAAAGATGCAAATATCAGATCCATAGGTGTTTCATATTGTTATCTATGGTGTGGGTTTGTTTTTCATAGTTTTTAGAAAGATATTGGGGCAGGGGAGGTGGGATGAAGGCAACAGAATGAGATGGCTGGGGCCACCTCTGAGCTGCTGGAAGCCCTGCTGGGTGATCCTGAGTGTGAGGGGAACAGAGGTCTTCCACAGATCTGAGGTTTACAAAAATAACTCACCTAAGTATAGAGGGTGGAGGGGAAGACAGAGAGACCAGTGGGGATTGTGAAAATAATCTAGACAGCGACCAAGGGGAGGCCCAAATGGTTTCAAGGAGATGCCAGAGGTGAAGTGCTCACTGACAAAAGAGAGCAGGTGTGAGGCTTGGCTGAGTGGGGCTGATGGCTCTAAGGTGGCAGGTGTATCCCAAGACTGTGCGTGCATGTGGGGGGGGGACTGTGTCTATGTGCACAAGTATATATGAGTGTATTGTAATTCATGTGTGTATGTGTGCACTTTATGCATGGAAGTGTGTGGGAGTGTGTACATGGGTCGACAGGTGTGTGCATGTGTTCATGTGGATATGCATGTCTGTGTGCATGTGTGTATACTTGCATGTCTGTGTGCATGTGTATGTGTGCATGTGTGTGCAGGTGTGCATGTGCTCATGTGGATGTGCATGTGTGTATGTGTGGGTGTGTGAAGGTGCGCATGTGTTCATGTGGATGTGCATGTCTGCATGTGTATGTGTGCATGTGTGTATGTGCACGTGTCTGCATGCATATGTGTATGAGTGCATGTGCATGTCTCTGTGTGTACAAGTGTGTGTGCATGTGGGGGTGTACTTGTATGTGTGTATATGTGTATCTATGCATGCTTGCGTACGTGTGACTTCAGAGTTCCTGTCTGTGGATCTCCTTGTGTCTTGTGGGAGGCTTGAGGCCCCACACAGGGTCCTGCCATGACCTATAACCCCAGCTGTGACTCTTGGCTTCAGGAACTGTACTGCAGCACCATGGACACTTTCCAGAAGTTTGTGGACACCCTGTTCCTTCAGACGCTCCCTGGTGTGACTGGCCTCCCCCCGGAAGAGTGTGACTACTTGAGGCAGGAAGTCCAGGAGAACGCTGCCTGGCAGCTGGGGAAATCGGATCACTTCCGGAGGCAGCAGTGGAAACTCTTCCAGGAGCTCCTAGAGCAAGACCAGCAGGTGCGGGCATTTGGGAACCCAGGGGCTGGGGTCTGCATTTTAGAAGCACATGAAGAAGAGTGACAGATCTCACATCCTGAGCACTCACTAGTGCCTATTGTAGCTGCTATGCAGAGATGACTGTTGCCTCCCTTTCACAGCGGCCCACCACGGGGTGGGATGAGAGAGCAGAGCCCTCATCTCCCTCGACGGGAAGTCGGAGATCATACCTTCAGTTGATCAGTCAAGAAAGAGCAGCGAAGCATGTTCTTTAGAATGAGAGGAATAGGTAGCCAACCAAATGGCAGAAAGGAAAGAGGTTCGCAGGGAGTGGGCTCTGTGGGAGTGGGGGAGCTGCGTGCACAGGACTCCTGCTTTTCAGTGAGAGTCTGATTACTAAACCATGGATATATGCTGAGACACAATCATGACCCCCCAAAGATATCTACACAGTGTTCCCTTACACGGCAAAAGGCGCTTTGCAGGTGGGGTTGAGTGAAGGATTTTGAGGTAGGGATGATTCTGGGTTATGCCAGTGAGCCCAGCGTAATTGCATGGGTTCTTACAGGAGGCAGGCAGACGGGTGGGAGTCAGAGAAGGAGATTTCAGGGGCTAAGCGGAGGTCGGAATGGTGTGGCTGTGAACCTAGGAACTCTGGCTGGTTCTAGAAGATGGGAAAGTCAAGGAGCGCATTCTCCCCATAGCCTCCAAAAAAGAACACAGCCCTGCTGACACCTTGGTTTTAGCCCATTAAGTCCCATTTTAGCCTTCCGTCCTCAAGACCGTAGGAAAATAGATTTGTGTTGTTTTCAGCCACAGCTGTGGCAATGTGTAACAGCAGCAATAGGAAACTAATACAAAACACTGATTTTTTTGTTTTTGTTTTTTGGGTTTTTTTTTTTTTGAGATGGAGTCTCACTCTGTTGCCCAGGCTGGAGTCCAATTGGTGCAATCTCAGCTCACCACAACCTTTGTCTCCCAGGTTCAAGCGATTCTCCTGCCTCAGCCTCCCTATTACAGGTGCGGGCCACTACACCTGGCTAATTTTTGTATTTTTAGTAGAGAAGGGGTTTCACAACCATGTTGGCCAGGCTGATTTCAAACCCCTGGAACCACGTGATCCACCCACCTCAGCCTCCCAACGTGCTGGGATTACAGGCGTGAGCCACTGTGCCCAGCCCACATTGATTTTATCTTTAAAAAATTCAACTGTTAAAGAAAAGAAGGCATTTCCAAATTCAGCACCCCCCAAGACTGCCTGCATGTCCTGTCTCCCATGCCTTCTGCCCTCTAGAAGCTGTGAAACTAACATCCTTACTCTTCATAACCCTTACAACTAGCCATGGCTGAGTGACACTGCTCTGGCCTTTGAGACAAGGCAAAGGGCTTCTCTTTCCTGATACAAAAGCCAGTTCTGCTTGGAGCAGCCCACTTCTTCATTGTCCCATTCTTCCTTCCTAGAACACACGGGGAGGCCTGGAGGTGCATCAGCCTTGCGCTGCCTTTGAGGCAGCCTGTGTGAACCTGGTGGGCTCCAGATGATGGAGCAGTAGGGGCAGCCCCGAGCCCCTGGCGGTGCTGTTAAGCCATTGCGCAGCCCTGAACCGCCCACCCCTGGATGCTTATTGTCAGAAACAAACCCTGTTTCTTTAAGTTGGGTTTGCAGTTAGTTACAAAAGACCAATCTGACTGAAGCATCTAAAAGAGTTTTCCTGAAACAATTCCTTGGAGCAACGGAAAGTACATAATAGATAGAGGAAAGCATTATGCAAACACATGACCACTCACAGCTGTGGGGACAGGCACAGGGCCTAGTTACCTGCCCAAATCAATTCTTAGACCTCCTTCTAGTTCATTCAGTCCTCTGGCAGTGGCATCCAGTTGCCCCATCATAGGTGACTTGTCCATCTCCTGCATTTGGCTATGAGTCCCTTGAGGACAGCAACCCTGATTTTCATCTTTACACGCCTATTCAAAGCCCAGTGGCTGCAATATGGTAAATGCCCAGGAAAACTAGTTCCATTTCCAGCAACAATAGTGCAGCTTTGGAAATGACTACAGCATTGCCGTTGCCCTGTATTCTTCTAAGGGATCTAAGTGAAGCTGAATTCATCCAATTCATTCCAAATACTGGGCTGCAGACCAATTCATTTATAGTCCCTGAGGAGGGAGGAGGACCTGGGCCTCAGTGTCTTAGAAACCAGGTGAGCCTAAGGGGCCTCTGAAGTGGACCCACTAAATAAGTGTAGGGGCCTTTTAGAGACCACTGTGGTTTTGCCAGGCCCCTAACCTCAGAAGCCCAAGACATGGGTTTGAGCCAGAGCAGACACATTAATGAGCTGTGTGACTTTAGCCAGTGAGTTGACCTCTTGCAACTCTGTGACTTTACACGACTTGGCTAAAAATGCCTCAGAGCTCCAGCTTCTGTGTGAAAACTAAGGGTCACAACACCCAGGTGATTGCTGTGAGATAATGCGAGTTAAGATCTTTTGCACAATATCCATCGATCATGTAATGCTATTGACAGTGAAGGAATCCAGAGTCTCACCTGTGATAAGACACCTGTGATTCATCTAAAACTCTCTGGTTATGAGTCTCAGGTTATTTTAGGCAAATAGTAGACTATCCACAGCTCTGTTTTTTATATTTTACTTTGTGAGCATATGATTGTGAATTTTTCTTGGCATGTGGGGAGGGTTTGGTTTCTGGCTGAGTTTTGCATGCAGGAAGCAGCAGAAGAGTTAATGACCTCATCAACTGATTATATACCTATGACCCAAGACTGTTTTCTCAAGGTGTGTATGTCATAGTTAATTTACTGATTATTTAATTGCCTTAAATTAACAGACGATAGTTAGAGATCCACTTGCCATGTTTCCCCATCGATAAAAAAATGAGAAATGAACTCTCTGCAGTTCAGATGAATATTAATCACGAGAAGAAAAGCACCAACAAAGCTATTTATGGAAAATCAAAAACACATCAACTGCAAATTGCCTTTCCCACATTGTTTTCTATCCAAAAAGGCCTTGGTAGTTTCATATCCCTGTGCTCGGGGAAGTTGTTAAAAATTATGGACTTTGTGAATTACGCTGTTGGAACAGGTTGTAGAATGCTGTTTCTCAAGACTTAATCTGCTCTAATGCAGACTTCTGGGCTTCTCCCAGTGCCCTTGCAGTGGGCAGCCATAATGGCCCCCCAGGAGGCCCACACCCTAATCCCTAAAACTCATGACTATGTCTGCTTACAAGACCGTGAGATGGGGATATTCTCCTGATGATCCGGCTGGGCCCCATGTCATCACAAGGGTCATTATAAGTGAAAAAGGAGCCTCAGTGTCAGAGTAAGGCAGTGAGGAAGACTCTGCAGCCCTTGCTGGACTTGAAGATGGAGGAAGGGGCTGTGAGCCCAGGAATGCAAGTGCCCTCTACGAACTGGAAAAGGCAAGGAAAGGATCCTGCCCCAGACCCTCAGGGACGAGTGCAAAGCTGCCGATGCTCATTTCAGGCTTCTGATCTCCAGCAGTGGAAGGTAATAAGCGTTGTTTTCAGCCACCAAATGTGTGATAATTTGTTACAGCAGCCACAGGAAACTAACACACCAGTGGGTAGTTGTGGGGCAGGGAATGTGGCAGTTGGTACACTCCTGAGCATGACAGTAAGGAACACCAGTGCTAGAGGCAGTCTGTCTGAGTTTGAATCCTGGCTCCCCACCTCACTCTCTACACCCCATTCCAGGCAGTTTCCATCATTTCGTCACTGAGTCTTGCTCTCACCACCGTGTGCCAAGCTCTCAGGCCTCCCTCCTCTTACTGGAATCAGTGGTTGTGTTTGGCCAAGTTGGTCTCTTCCCTCCTCCTTGAAACACCTGCTTGACTCTTGCTTCTCCTCCCACCTCACTGGTTTCTGCTTCTCAGTCTCCTGGTCCCCTCCCAGCTCCTTATTTTCTGAAAACTGAAGAGCCCTGGGGTGCGGTCTGTAGCCCTCTTCTTTATCTGCATGCACTGTTTCAGTGATCCCATCCAGTCACACAATGTCTGCATTCATTTTCTAATGCTGCATAACAAGTAACCAGCAGCTTAAAACAACATGCATTTATTATCTCTCAATGTCTGTGGGTCAGAGGTCCAGGCAAGGTTTAACCAAGCCCTTTGTTCAGGGCCTCTCACAAGTCCACAGCCAATCCCTGGGCTGGGGCTGGGGTCTCATCTGAAGGTGTGACTGGAGAAGAGTCACTTCCGTGCTCACTCACATGGCTCTTGTCAGGTTTTAGTTCCTCGAGGGTCGTTAGACTGAGAGCCAACAGCTTCCAAAAATATACCCTCAGCTCAGGATCATTCCTGAACTCAGCTCTACACGAAGTCTCCATTTAGATGACTGCTAGATATGAGAAGTTGGTGTGTCAAAAATAGCTGTTGCTCTTCCTGCCAACCTGCCTTACCCACAGCCTTCCTCCACTTTTCTACTAAATTGGGGCAAAAACCTTGGGGTCATCCTTGACTCCTCTTTCTTTCACACCCTACATTGGTTGACAAGAAATCCTATTAGTTTTGCGTTCATTCTAAGCCTGAATGTCTAACCACTTCTCGGCACCTCCCGTCTTAGCACCCTGGCCAAAGCCACTGTGCCTCTCGCCTGGGTTATTGCAACAGCTGACCAGCTGCTCTGCCTCCATTCTCAACCCTCCAGCCAGAGTGATACTTTTAAGATAAGCTTGTCCGACATGCATGCTGCATGCATTCCAGGATGGCTTGGAACGCAGCCCAACACAAACTTGTAAACTTTCTTAAAACATCATGAGGGGTTTTTTTTGCATTTTTTTTTAGCTCAGGCACTGTCATTCATGTTAGTGCATTCTCTGTGTGGCCCAAGGCAGTTCTTCTTCTTCCAGTGTGGCCCAGGGAAGTTCAAAGACTGGACACCCCTGTTTTAAGATCCTATTTGCCACTAATTTTTAGGATACACATTTAAAAATATTTTAACATCCCTGAAATCAAGATGCATTTTACCTTAATTGGCAGT